AATTACAATGTAATTTATTTGATAATTTAAAACAACAATGTCAATTGAAATCATTACTTCACCAATTACTGTATTTAAAACTTACAAATAAATATATATAAAGATGAATACATGTAAAGTATCCAAAATGGTTCATATATATTTTTTAAAAATTGTAATTTATAAATTTCTAATTCATTTCATAAGCAAACTGATCATTTTTTTGTCATTATTTTCACATTTTATTACAAGAAAATAAAAAGTTAATATCACTCACGAATGATAAATAAATACATGTAAAATATAACTTTTACAATGAAATATTTTGTAATATTTTTAGCTGATAATAATTATGTAAATTAGGATAAAAAAACAAAACTCGCTCTCGATCGGCCACAACAGTGCAAAGCTCGACTTACGCACACTCACCTTGTCTCTTTTTTTTTTTCCTAACTGCAGGTTGCGATTGCTGATCACTGCACTTACTGAGACAGCAGGGGCGGGGCCACTGACGCCGGACGCTGACACTGGGGGTTGTTTTAATCACGTCCTGAAAATCAGAAAAAACTGAAAAGGCGAAAAACAAAATTTAACGCTCCACGAGTGCTAAGTAGTGATGCTGTTTCACATATTTAGAGACAAATCTCAAAATTCATTTTACAGGGTCTTTAAATAAATTTCTCGCACCAAACGAGCAAAAGTGAACTAAGCCACTCATTTGATCCACCTTTGCCGATCCACAGGACAGCGTTTTTATTATTATTGACATGTGACAGCCACGCAAGTTGCATCACCTTGACAAGGTGGGGAAAAAAAAAAGCAACACGACTATTTTTTTTCCTTCTTGAGGCCCTCTGGTGGGATTTGGCTTCAAATCATTTTTTGTGAGGAAAAGGCACCAAGCAAGGTGCGCAATTAAGCCCGGGGAGTGTCAGGACTGTTTAATGAGGCAGTGTGGCAAACTTTCAGCCATGCCAGATCATATGAATTATTTGTCATTGGCAACGTGTGTGTGTGTGTGTGTGTGTCCCATCGCAAAGCAGGATGAAGGCGGACCTTGATGGAGAGATGTGGCACTAGCCTGGGGGCTCGCTCCACTCTGAGGCTAGTTAGCCGCCTGCACGGCACAGCGCCATCATTAGGGAGGAGGGCGCTCGTGGCGCCAAGGTGACACGCACGCAAGCGCACGGCCAGACTCGCACACACCAGTCGTCAGTCAGCAAGCGTGCGGACAGACGAGTGCGGAGGTGTGCCGTCGGGCCTCATATCGGACTGGATGGCACTTTCGTTTTCGTTATAGGGAAGCAGGCTAAAAATAAAATAAAATGCAATAAAATCTCGACTTCACAAAAGGTCAAATGTCAACTTTAAAGGGAATTCGAGTCAAACATTTGGTGGCCACACTCGACGCCGTATTCCGATTAAAACTGCAGTCGTGGACAAAGAAGGAAGCCAATTAATCCAGCGACTTTCAGCCATCTCGGGGGCTGACAATATGACATTGCGCCACCCTCTGATATTGACGACAGAGTGCCCTCGCAATGAAATCGTCACCGCTCACTTGATTTTTGCAATGCCAGCCGAGAGCACTTAGACGTGAATTTCAGTTGACAGCAGAGGGCGATAGAGTATTCGGTCATGCAAAAAAGGACATTAGTCCAAGTAAGTTTTGCTTGCTTGCAGGGATTTCTTGAGGTTTTGCCGATACATTACAAGCTTTAATACTGCCCCGGAAGTCAATTCAAAATCCATTAAGCAATGACCTCGCTGACTCACATTTTTTTTTTGATTAGATTTTCTTCAAAACAAAGGGCCTCCCTTCACAAAATACTCAAGTAGCTAGCCAAGGAAGAAAACAACCTCCAAAACCAAAAGGACACTCAAAGCAGCTGAACTATGGCCAATTATCAAAGCTTTCAATTTGCTCAAAAGCATCGAGAAATGGGCAGGGGAGGGAAAAAAAAAAAGAAGACAACATATGTGATTGCGGCGAGCTGAGGGACGTGGAAAAACGGCGCGCTCGATTCGTACGCTCGCCGGCGGCGTTGGCCTTCGCCGTTGTTGTCGAGTCGCCACATCAAAAGCCGCGTTTCTTTGCCGGGGTATACAAAGCCTTTGGTTCTCCTCGCTATGAAATTGAACCGCTCCCGTGTTTACATGGCGCCAAGACAGTTCAAGGGCGAGGCCCACGTCGATGCATTGAGGGTGCACACTCTAGACGCTGCATTCACGGAGAACAAAGACCACCCCCCCACACCGCACTTCTCCTCCCCGGTTGTTGTTTGCGTGATTGGAGGACAGCCTATAGCAGAATACCTGTTTGGAATCCATATAGCCAAGCAAGTATAGAGGCAATTTTACACTTAGAGGAAACAAACAAACAAATGAATAAAAAAACTAAGAATGGAAAAGTGTGAGCGTGATGCCATCATGCTCCCATAACCTCGATAGGAGTGTAACCACAAATGAGCTGGTATTTTGAAGGTCAAACAACATGTAGTTCTATGTTGGACATATACAAAGAACATGGGCAGATTCGCGTCGCTGTGCGCGCGTCGTATGGTGGCAGTAGATGCAACTCAGTTTGGCAGATGTTCAACTTTTGGGTGGGGGGGTGTTTGTAAAGTCTTCAAGCCGTTTCTGCCAAACTGAACCGGAGGACACTGTATTTTAAACAACCACACCATATTGCCTTCCAGTCTGCTAGCTTAAATAGCTTCCCTGTGGCGGAACTGTAACACTTAAAGCAATGGACATTTGAACACAAGCGGCGTATCAACGCCCGGAGGCAGGCAGTATAAAAATACGCACGGGCATGTTCTTTATCCTCCGAAAAGAATGTTACTATTCTAATGCAAATGCTCGCCATTTGTCAGAAGGACGATTATATGTATGAAGATGTTGCACTCCCCTAAAATGAAGACAAACTTGATGTTTGACAATCCTGAAAAGAAGATGAACACAAGTGTCGACATCAGTCTCGACATAGAACGTCCAAGTTGAGCGCAAGCAAAAGGAAGACACAGGCGTGCACATACTAAGTTGCTTTTATTAACACAGAACTGCATGCTACAGAGACTGTACAGCATTAACATTTATTTCAATACAAAAAAACGTGGTTTCGGGGAACCATTTCAAGAGAACGGGAAAGAAACAAACAAACAAACGGACAAACAAAGAGAAGAAAAGATAAGAGCATAAAAGAGAACAGGAACATCACAGCCGTTAAGGAAACATTCAAACTATTTATCATTAGCATCTTAATAAACCAGAGAAGAAATCGACAGTTTACAGTCGCGTCATGTCAACTACAATGGCACCGAGTGGATGATTTCTCTTGTAGCTTTTTTTTTTTTCTCATTAATATTTTACAGCCTCTTGCAACATCAACATGCCTATTTTTTTTCCTACCTACCTATATGTAGTAGTGTACTTAAAAGTGGCAGTTTGTGTATTTTTTTTTTGGCATTTAATAGTTTTTTTTTGTATGAACCTCCTAATATACAGAATTTGGCCCGTGTGGGTTTTATACAGTATGATGCCCGTGATTTTTTTTTCCTTTTTTCTTTTTTATTATTATTATTAGGTTTAAATTTTTAATATTTGACAATTTGCTACCAAACACATTTGTTATAGCAACATTTATACTACATACATAGCAATCTATGTAACGTCACAGCAAAAGGATGGCATTGAACTGAAACGAAAAGAGGAGGATCCTTACAGCGTGGTCTGGGGCAATGGGGGGGGGGGCGGGCAGATGAAATTAGCGCAAAAAATTGGCACGGAAAAATCTGTACACGGCGGAGCAACAGTCTGAAAGGTGAAAATGACGACGGGTAGGGCTATCGACGCACTGGTTTTCGTGTCATGGCTTATCGACGCGTTCCTCGAAATATGTGCAGACGTTCGCTTGGTGAGATCGACACGGGACACAAGGGCGGAATCTCGGTTTTCAGAAAGAAGATGGGGTGGGGGGAAGAACTTGTAAAAATGGATCATTCATATATATATATATATATATATATATACATATATATATATTGTCGCTTACCTTAAGAAAAAAAATATTTGTACATTTTATTTAAGAAAAAAAGAAATAAAAAGTCCAAAAAGAGACACGTACGAGATACGACGAGCAAAAATCTCTAAAGCAATAAATACTACTGGTCCTAGCGTGGTGACATTTTCAATCCAACGACCCCTTTTAAACACCCGCCCACCCCGACCCCTCCCCCAAAAGGTAAACAAAGAAAAAGCAGTGGAAGAATGCATAATTAACACGATATCCCCGACCCGACCAGCCCGTCCCCCTTCGCCTCGAAGCTCCAATTTGTTTGATTCTGTACATTTAAAACAACAAGTAACATCACAATTAAAAAGTTGTTCCTCGGCGCGGCGTCGCCGCCGGGCTCTTGCCCTCGCGCGCTGTGTGAAGGGGTGTGATTGGTTCGCAAGCTCGTATTTAATACAAATAAGAAGGAGAACCAACGCTAGCCTTTCGCTTGTCCTGTCCATTGTTGTTCGCAACTAAAAAAAAAGAAAAAAAAAGAAAAAGCAGGGGCCAGTCATCCGCGTCACTGTCGACCGAAGTGGAAGCGTCCAATTGCCTCCGCAGATCGACACAACCTGGATGAAATTCAAGGCGAAACGTCTCTGACGACCAAAAAGCTGAGATGTCGTCAAGTGGAATATCTTCTTGGTTGTTGAAGACGTTTTCACCTTGAATTTTGCTTCTAAAACGTGACGGAGGAAGGAAGCCTTGTGGATTTTCAAGGTGAAAACGTCGTGGGAGGAAGCCGGACTTGTCTTGGTTGTTGACAACATTTGCGCGTTTCATTCAAACGGTTTCTTCAGTCCAACAATAAAATGGAAGCAGTCTTTTACAATCGCAATGGAAGGTGGTCTCCCAATAACCGAGATACGACCTGGACATGAATCAAGAAGCATTTTGAATGAAAGGTGAACATTTTCCAGAACCAAAAGGCAAATAGAAGACACTGGACTTTTCCACTCGAGCGAGATCTTGAACAAGAGCTTCTTCAGTTCTAAATGTTGACTGGAGAAATCTTTTGGATTGTTCCCCAAATTGAGGAAAAGCCCACAGTTTGTTCGAAACGCTTCGGTCAAATTTAGAACTGTCGAAGCAAAGTCATCAGAGTCACGACCGTCCGCAAACGTTGAATGGAGGCAACCCAACTCTTCTTCCTGGTTGTTGAAAGGCTTCTTCTGTCAAATTTAGAACCAGAAAAGCCTTTTTCAATTTGCGGTGAAACCGCAAGAAAGATTCCAGGTCCTCTGATGACCACCACATCTAATTTTGACCGCAGAAGCCCTTTGGCTCAAAAGTCTTCAACAACCAAAAGTTGCGTCACCTCCATTCAACTTTCGCAGAAAGCAAAAAAATAAAATAAAATGTTTGAGCTGTTGTTGCAGCTCCGGGTGATCATTCTTGAGGACAATTCGACAGGCTCCTTGGCGGGTCAAATATTGACCAATGAACTTGAAAACAGAACAGTAGCGAGCAGCGGCGGCTAGAAGGAAACCAAGAAGAAGAAGAAGAGGGTCCGACTGCTACTCTATGGACTTGGTCACGAGCGACAGAGGCTGCAGCGAGTGGGAATGACACAGCAGTGGCGAGGGTCGGGCCATGGGGGACACCACCGAGGGGCCCGGTAGCCGCGAGGGCGGGGCGTCGCCGGGTTCCGGGGTCAGCGTTTTGCCGCCCGCCGCCGCCGCCGTGGCGTTTTCCGGCGGCCCGGCCAGGAGGTGCGGGTGAGGGAGGAGCGGCTGGTGGGCGGGTTTCATAGTCAGTGAAAGAGGTTGCATTTGTTCAGTCTGAGGTTTGGACTCTTTTGGCGAGGGGGACGGGACCACGGAGGAGGGCGAGGACGGGGGGGAGTCTGGGAAGCTTCCGTCCGAGGAGGGAGGACTGGCGCAGCTGCCTTCACCTTGGATGTAGCGAATGCACTTTTTTTTCCTCCTGGATCGGGAAGGGCAAGGCGAGACAAGACAACCTTTCAGACGTCTGATTCGATCGCGGCTCGCGTGAATGCACCGCGAGGCGGCGGTTTGCCATGCATGATCGAGAAATGCCCCGCCCCCGCCCACCCCCAGAGTGGGAAAACAGGACATCAAGCAGGCGGGAAATGAGCGTGGCGGTGATGAGGAGTGGACACGGAGATCGAGTAATGCTCCCTCTCTGGGTTTACACTGCCGCGCGTCTTGCACGCCGTTTTGTACGAGCGGCGCCGGAAATGTGATGACCGCGGGGGCCTCTTCAGGAAGTCAAATCTCACTCTGATAGCAGCTTTCCCCAAGCTTAGTGGAAAATGACCAGATGAAAATCTGCAAAATGATTTCAACTCCACTTTTGCTCACCGACATCATTACGTGACAGCAATGTAAGAGGTTGTTTCGGAGTGACCCATACGAAAGGTGGATCAAAAATTGCTTCGAGGCACCCTGGGCATTTTGGAGCATCCGATCACACTTTCCTCCAAAGCACTTCCGGAGAACCCGAAGAGGACCCGAGTCTGATTTCGAAGGAGGTCACAGAGACGTAAGAGAGGCGGGATGATGCTTGTGTGTCAATGTGAAGTTCAACACCTAACACACAGACTTCAGCCACCCAGCAATCTATCAACCGGTCATCTCATGAGCCGATTCTAGAATTTTGCGCAGGTGGCGATTTCCCACCTTCACTTCGCGTGGAAAGGAATTATGCAATGCCGACAGAGATTTTTAAGTTTCACACACAGCTCTAAGTTTGGCTGCTCCTGTTGCGCGCTATCCTACAAGGATTTTAAACGTCAGACGCTGTCGCCAGCTACTAGCGATCCAAATGCCTTCTTAGTTGGGTTCTGTGTTAAAAACAAAAAAACCCGCTTTGATCCAGCGATTTCTGTGTGAAAGAGGCTTTTCTTCTAGAGAAAAGCTACAATTGCGTATCAACGTACTCCTTCGCGCCCCCCCCCCAACCCCCACTCGCCACTCTACGTCCTCCTCCTCCTGAGGGGGTCCCAGTTTGTACACTCGGCGCAGAATTTTGCTTTCAAAAATAATCCAGAAAGATGCGCACTGGCGAGCACCTGCCCCACAGACACAAGCGTGTACATGAGGGGTCACGGCCTCGTGTTTGCATTCCTGTCGGGTTCGGGACCCCTCTCGAGTCCTAAGGTGACCACCCCGGGCTGGATCTGGTTAAGGGGGGGGTGAAATCTGCCCCCGCTCGTGCTTTTACCTTGACCCTGGCGGTGAACCCGCCTGTGGGCAATAACGGAAACTCACGACTAGCAAAACAAAACAAAAAATGTTTTTTCCAATTTTGGGGCCGATAAAAACCAGAGAGAGCACATTACTGGGGATGAGGCAACGCCAACAAAGCACATACATGCTCGGTGGGTGGGTGGGTGGGGTTACACATGCGATTCAAGGAGGCGGGACGTTGAGAAAAGCATCGAGCGGGCCCACCGGGGTATCGTTTGGCCGCTAAGTACGCGGCCGGCTCCTGCTAACTGTCCGTCAAAGAGCAACAAATGAGCTCATATCCATTTTTTTTTTTTTGAACACGCGCATCGATTCATCATATGCGCCGCTATTGATTTCTCTTTCTTTTTTTTTGGCTCCCGCCACCTCCCGGGAAATTACGGCGGATTTTCGGCAACGGGAGCCCCGGAGAGGACTCTTAACCTCTCGGCTTCTGTAATGAAGACGGAATTATCGCGCGCTGATCTTGCGATCTGGATTGAATACGCCGCGTTCCTATGTTGGAAAAGGGGGGTTGTCGACGTCGGACACGGTGGTCACAACACAAATGGAATATGCCACGGAGAAAAAGGAAAGGAGAGGGGCAGGGAATTTACTTAGCAGAAACAAATACCTACCATGAAAGCATTCCCAATTCAAAGACTGCTTGTGTCAGAACAGAAAGACAACAGGTAGGGACTAAGTCAGGGTTATTGAAGAGGAGGAAGAGAGGGAAGGAAGAGGAGGAGGAGCACAGAAAAGAGTGTCACTGAGCGGGCCCCTTAAGAGGAAGCAGGGCTAAAATTAAAAAAAATTAAAAATGGCGAGCATCACATCGCTATTCAATGAAAGGGAGGCGCCAATTAGGGCAAACATGACAGTTAATAAGATAGGGCGGGTCAGGGGAGAAAATGGATTTCCAACATTAAAAGAAAAAAAAAAAGAAAAAAAAAGAAATCCATTTTCTACCTCTAACTAATCCTAATGGAAAGGGATTTATTTATTTTTTCAAATATGTCTACTGCAGGAAGTTCTGGTGGGGGGAAAAAAAGCAGTTTTCCATCTGTTAAGCACAATGATGGAAACGTGGCTTCGAGAAAGACAGAGAGAGGAAATCATCAAGGAAATAAGGAGAGGAGGAAAAATAAAAAATAAAAAAAGGCTCATGGCGGTCGCCTTCCTCCCATTCAGGCAAGTTATGTACCTGCACGGTTTGCACCATAAACTCAGCTGGTCAAGCCCGAACAAGGCACGACACTTCTTTGGGGTATTTGCATCTGTTATAGCCAAAGAGGTAAGGACACAAACAAAAACACACACAGGAGACATAGGAAAAAAGAAAACAAAACAAAAAAATGGACACGTCATTGCACAGACAAACCAAACAAACAAACAAACAAAAAAAAAAAAAACACACACACACACACACGCACATGGAGCCTGGGTTGAGGTTTAGGCTGGTAAACACTGGGACCTCCTCCATTTTGGACCTCCCCAAGCCCCCATCTGCCAGTCAATACATCCCCCCCAAATTTGATCACACTCATACAAGCATCACTCAGGCACCCTTCGAGATAGAAGACAGACCGGCAGGGCGTGGCTGGAGGAAGCTGGCGTAGCTCGGCGATACAGACAGGAGGGGGGGGGAAGACCAAATGAAAAAAAAAAACAAACAAACCAACAAACAAAACAAGGGAGCGAGCGAAAGGAGGAGGAAGTCCCAGCGTGGCGTCACCCCCACCCCACCGAGCCTGCACCCGACCCCCCCCGGACTAAGGTGCAAGCACACCCCATACACACCTGCACGGGCCACACCAGTTATTCTGTTGATCGAGCCCAAAGCGCGCTCGACACTTCTTAGGAGCGCTCAGGTCTGATGCCGCGACGGCGAAGAAAGGGGGTGGGGGAAGCCAGCAAGGAGGAAGAAGAAGGGGAGAAAAAAAAAAAAAAGTCGCACCAAAATAAAAACAAAAACAAAACAAAACAAAACAAAAACAAAGCACAAGCAGGAGAGAAATAAAGAGAAAGTTACACTGAGTCTATGGAGATTGACAGCTATTCTCAATAGTGCCTCGTGGCTGGATTTACACTGCCTGGTTCCACTTTGGAAATGGGTTTCAAAAACCAATTGGATTCATTTGTCAGCGTGCAACGACGACGTACGCAAATCTGCTCAATGATTGAGGAAAGCCCAAATATGCTACATTCATCGATTATCCCCAAAATGGGGATGAGGCCTGATCCCCGATCGGTGCCAAAAGTGTCTCGCCAAAATTAAATAATGTGTGAGGTGAACCCAAACCGCAGCAAATATCGCCAACTTGGAAATGGTGTCAACCTGCTACGTTACAGCTGATTATTTTTCCGTCCTCGCGTGATCTGAAGACGCCGATTCATGCCACGTACAGGACGAGCAGCTACGCAAACAACACAAAGTAAAAGACGCATGTGGGGAACCATTTAAATGTTGCAATTAAAATACGGCATTTAGCAAAAGGCATTGTTCTGTTCATTGGTTAAATATATATATTTTTTAACAGAATTGTGGCCCCCGCCATTGTTAAGTCGCCCATTCCTGCTCGAAATGGAAATGACACATCAGGCAAATCAGTTTTACAGTTGAGTCACTGGAGATGATCTCCATTTAACCTCGACTTCGACCTGCAGTGTAAATCCAGTCTTCGATGGGATTGTTTCCAAGCATTATTAGTAGTCCAACCACATTCCATGCACACCATCAAATCAGGATATCAATCGCATTCCAGTAGCGGAATCTAAGCGGAGAGTTAAAGTTAAGAAAATGCAAGGTGGATTCATCAAAACGGCCAGACAGTGGCGAGTAGTTGTTGTTAGCCCTTGCCAGGGTTGAGGATTAATAAGGCAGAGGGGAAACCGACTTCCCAGATACTTTCAGCCACTCGCGTGTAGGCACGGGCCGGTTAACTATTCCAAGGTTCGACGTGAGCCTGACGACTTTTCCCTTTGTCAAAAAAAGTAAAGAGAAAACATTGAAAAATGCAGTGGACCCCTTGATTATTCGTGGCTCCGCATTTGCATATTCAACTATTTGCAGATTTTGGGGCGAACTTCCTACCCGTTATTCCGGGAAGCCCCTTTACCTTTTTTTTTTTTTTAACTCAATCCCTTGCTCCACAATCGGTCTCGAATCGCTGGGAACAGTTTGGGTCCACTGAAATAGTTTTTTATATGCCTAAATATAAATATATATTTTTTGCTCATGGTTATCAGACCATCCAAATTTGCTTGAATCCGGCCCATGCTTAGTCGCTTGCATTAGTGCAGGAGAGTGGCTTAAAATAATCTCGAGTGGGCATGCTAGCCTACAGATGAGGCACAAGGGGGAGCGTTTTATCCATTAAGGAGGTTTACCCTGGCATCAAACGTTTCAGACAGTAAGCTCATAAATTATATCAATGTATATCAACTTTTTTTTTTTTTTTTAGCATTTACAGATTTTTTTTTTTTTAAAAAAAGGCAGCAGAAAAAAAAGGAGAATATTTTGAAAAATTCAACACATCCATAGATAGATAAAGAGCAATTAAAAAGGAAGGAAAACAAGTTAGTATATTTAAGAGTCAAAAAATGACATTAGCACCTGTAATCGGAGGGAGTGAAAGGCAAGGGTTTGGAAAATATTCTCTGTGTTCTGCAACGAAAACAAGAACAGATAGAGAGGCCTTCAAGAGGAGATCACCGTCACCAAAAAACAAAACAAACAACCCCAAATTATGTATGTATTAAAAAAACAAACAAACAAAAAAACAGCGGCAATAATCACAATGAAAGCGAACATGATCAGGAGAAATATATACGTGTGAATTATGAAAGATGGAGCAGTCACAGAATGAGGAAACCTCCTTAATTTCTGTTTCGATTGTGATCAAGAGCGAGGCAAGCGAGGGGGCAGCCCAGTTAGTGTCCACGCACACGTACGCATGCACGCGCACACTGCGTATACACACGCGCACACGAACACACACAGTACTAGAGTGTATTTGCAGGCTGCAGGCATTATAAAAACAGTTAATTTCATCGCAGGGTATTCTCAAATACACATATACCACAATGCTAGCGGGCAAAAAAGGAGTGGGGGGGGGGGTATGGGATGGGACAGGGGGGGGTCTTAAGGGGCTTCATGCATATTCAGCTGTTATTAGCAAGGGAAGACTACAGAAAAGAGGGAAGGGAGGGAGGACGGGGGAGTGTTACTGTACAGCCAACGCTACCATTTAAATATTGCATTGCATGACTATGATGAAAAAAAAAAAACAGCATAAACACACGCACACACACACACACACACACACACACACACACACACACACACACACACACACACACAACAAAACTAGCTTGACTTTTATCTGGCGGGGTGTCACATGTGGCTGACACATGACGGGGCCGCTCTAATATAGGAGATAATTGCCGCTTGCTTACCGTTGCTCTCCGCTTGCTGCTTTTCCCTTTTTCTCTTCTTCCTTTTCCCCTGTTGGTTAGCCGCCAAAAAAATAGAAAGAAGGGGGAAAAAAAGGGGGGAGACAGACACAGACAGGAACCTTAGTTATTATATTGCAGGACGCCCCAAAACATGAAACCGGGAGACTACAACTCTTCTTTGTGTTTACTTATTTATTTATTCACTGCTTCTTTCTCCGTCTTATTTTTTTCTCTCTTTTTTTTTTTTTGCCCTGCGGTTGGTACGAGCCTGATGAGGATTGTGTTTTCTTGTAGCGCCTGCGCTCCTCTCGCTTATTTTCCTCAATTTGTGTTGATGGGCTCCCAAAACCGGACTTTAATGACCAATCATTTGTGAGGCTGGATTCACACGGCGCTAAAAACGACTACGGGAGAGTCAACGTGGGCCAGTGTCGACACCAAAGTAAACAAAGACACATAAATAATAGAAATACCGAGAGTTGCAACGGTCACATTTGGACTTGAACAGCAAACAGCAAATTATTGACTTTGGAAGCGAAAGTGCAAGAATGACCTCAGGTGATGAGCCACATGCCGTTTCACCAAGTTTACCGACAGATTGATGATTCTGCTCCGCTCACAACAGCGGGCGTTTTTGCCATTGACAACAAGCCAAAGGTTTGCGACGTGACAGAGAGTGACACACACACACACACACACACACACACACACACAACAAAACTAGCTTGACTTTTATCTGGCGGGGTGTCACATGTGGCTGACACATGACGGGGCCGCTCTAATATAGGAGATAATTGCCGCTTGCTTACCGTTGCTCTCCGCTTGCTGCTTTTCCCTTTTTCTCTTCTTCCTTTTCCCCTGTTGGTTAGCCGCCAAAAAAATAGAAAGAAGGGGGAAAAAAAGGGGGGAGACAGACACAGACAGGAACCTTAGTTATTATATTGCAGGACGCCCCAAAACATGAAACCGGGAGACTACAACTCTTCTTTGTGTTTACTTATTTATTTATTCACTGCTTCTTTCTCCGTCTTATTTTTTTCTCTCTTTTTTTTTTTTTGCCCTGCGGTTGGTACGAGCCTGATGAGGATTGTGTTTTCTTGTAGCGCCTGCGCTCCTCTCGCTTATTTTCCTCAATTTGTGTTGATGGGCTCCCAAAACCGGACTTTAATGACCAATCATTTGTGAGGCTGGATTCACACGGCGCTAAAAACGACTACGGGAGAGTCAACGTGGGCCAGTGTCGACACCAAAGTAAACAAAGACACATAAATAATAGAAATACCGAGAGTTGCAACGGTCACATTTGGACTTGAACAGCAAACAGCAAATTATTGACTTTGGAAGCGAAAGTGCAAGAATGACCTCAGGTGATGAGCCACATGCCGTTTCACCAAGTTTACCGACAGATTGATGATTCTGCTCCGCTCACAACAGCGGGCGTTTTTGCCATTGACAACAAGCCAAAGGTTTGCGACGTGACAGAGAGTGAATGGCTTTAAAAGGCAGGGCCCGGTCTCGTGAGTGGCGTGGGCGTCAGTGAATGAGTGTCACCGGGGCTGATGGGTGTTCGAAGCTTTCGCCTTGTGGAGTCACAAAGACTTACAGAATGGTTTCTCTGACAAAAATTGATTTCTGAGGAAGCGGATCCAAAAGATTATTTGAAGAAGGAACAAACTCCTATCACAAGGCAGCGGTGTGGGTCATTTGAAGTGTGTCCCATGAATCCAGCGCAATCAGAACTGAACGCCTAACATCGGTTGGCCGCAACACTGACACCGTCCCACGATCCGAGCACGCCGGCAAAGCTAGCCAAGGTGAGAGGCTTGGGTTTGTTGGGGCGAGGGAAGAGGAGCCCGTTACGACTTGTAAACTTAAAAACTTACATAGTTGTCTCGGGCCGACCAGCCGGGGTAGAGCTGCATGTGGAGCTGTCGCTCTTTCCTGGCCAGCTCGTAGTATTTGGCTTGCTCCTCCCTCGATAGCGCGTGCCACTGGAAGAGGACGAGAGGGGGAGGTGGCAGTGGGGTTCCCACAAGATGAGGTGAGCAGGAAGCGGGGAAACGCGGTCCGAGACCCAAGCGCTTCCCGCGAGGTAACTCACCCTCCGCCCCAAAATCTGGTTGATGGCGGCGCTTTCCTTCAGCGTGCACTCGGCCACCACCTTGGCCCGCATCTCCTTCATGTAGAGCATGAAGGCGTTCAGCGGCTTCTTTATGTGGACCTGCTTCTTCTTCTCCTCCTCCTTCTTCGCATCTGACTGTTTCCTATGGCAAAGAAAGGTGGAGAAACTAAAAAAAGCCTGTCCCAAGAATGGGGGGAGTCCATCATTGTGTGACTACTTACGAACTGTTGAGGGAGCTGATGTCGCTGTGGGAGGATTCCTGCTTGACGTTGGGTGTGACGATGGCTGGGTGCGGGATGCCCGTGGTGTGCAAACCGTGGTGGGGGGGCACCATGTGTGGGGGGAACCTAGAGGACAGAAGACTGTGTAAATCGTCAGAATGGACACGGGTGAAATGGGGGCAATGGCGCACATGTAACAATAACACGACAGTTCAGCGGGCTAGGTTCCGTTACGAGGATTAATCGTCGCGGGCAGGGGCGGGGCCACAAAATGCAAACAGCGTACATATTTGCCAACAATCAGTCAACAGTCATTCAACGTTGAGAAACTTGTATTGTGTGGAAACGACATTTTTTTTGCTGCGTTCCTTGCACTCACGTGCTGTCAGGATGTAACTGTCATTAATTCGGACAGGTAACTGCTAGCAAGTGAGACACGGGCGTAATGTTGAAGAATGGAACATTGTTTTGGCCATAAATTGGCAACGACCGGTCTCGCAAAGTGGGTGAATCAAAATGACTTTTTTTTTCTAGAATTTATACTGTTCAGAGCCTATCAAAGACCATAAATTTTTCAAATTAGCATTTGCGAGAACATAAAGCTGCTACTAAATGAGACACGAGTGTAACGCCGCAAAAACCAAAAGCTACTTCATTTGTAAATTGGTGATTACAAAAAGTAGAAAAGTCGGCAAATCCTTCGATCCATCCATCTGCTTTCTTCCACTTATCTCGTTATCAAAGTCCATAAATTGCTCCCATGGAATCTAACAAGCTTTAACTCAGCCAGTTAGCTGCTAATTAGTGAAACATGGGCATGAAGTCGAACAGTACAGAGTTGTTTCGGTCGTGGACTACAGAGCAGAAGTCGGCAAATCCATCCATTTTCTACCGCTTGAGTCGGACGGGAGAGCCCATCTAAGTCGATAAATGGCAACATCGAGCATCGGCTCGGCTCGTTCTTTTCTCTCATCCTCCCTTCTTCCCCGGTCATTCCGGCTTCTCCATCAATTTATGAAAGCAGGCGTGTTCCCGCAGGAATGCACTCGAGTGTGCACACATCCAGCCATCCGCAATTGTTGACAGTGCGGGGCCACCATGTGACCAAACATCCAAGAGAGAGGGATGAAGGAAGAGGAGGAGAAAAGAAAAGAATCTTTTTTTTCCCAATTTCTGCCATTTCTCTCTTTTTTTCGTGTGTGTGTGTGTGTGTGTGTGTGTGTGTGTGTGTGTGTGTGTGTCATTATCTCGCCGTGCCTGGCTGCATGGCTCGGAGCCAGAAAATAATGATGAGGATAAACTCGCCAGGAACAACTAGTTTCTGTTGGAGGCCATCTCAGGGGAGAGCGAGGGCGCCCCCCCCCCAAACACACACACACACACACACACA